TTAATGTCTGATCATTTTTATTAATTTCATGTTTTGCAGTTTTTTCAAAAAGTTATTTAAAAATGTTAATTATTTTAAGGAATCATCCTGTATAGAGGTACACATGGAAAGAATTAATTGCAAGAACAGAGCGGACTCCAGCAACAATTAGTGAAAAAACAATTTCCTTATTAGGCATTCCAAACAAATGAATTGCCAGTGGGCAGGTTTGGTAGATGTGACGGTTGCGACATACGATCTATTCTATCTACAATACGTAAAATCATGAATAATGGATTACATTTAAATATTTTATATCGAACACTATAAAAATATTAATTAAAAAAACTGCTTGTACATTTTTTAAAAACTGGCAGGATTGGCGATTGATATTTCGAATAAAAATAGCGTCCAAGATGCAAGACTATGTCGCTACCCCCTTAGATATACGAGACCTTCCCACTGGCAGGTATTGTTTGACAGGTCGTTGGAATGCCTAATTACCCGCCTTTATGGAACAATGTACTTAATGGTGACAATTTTGACACATTATATAAATTACACAGGACCGTATTGGACGCATTTTGAACTAAATTACAGTTTTTTGTTTTGGGAGTTTTTTGAAAAGTTATTTAAAAATGTTATTTATTTTAACTACTTAGGAATCACCCTGTATAGCAGTACGATAATTTTAAAAAGGAGTTTATGAAAATGGTAGTTATAAATAAATAGTTTTCTTGGTAGTTCCCAAATTTCAACTCAGTAGGGAAGACTGGGGCACGTTCGGCCATGGGACACAATCATCCGTTGGTTAAAAAAATTTGAATTTTTAAGTTTTCGCGCCGATTTCATTATCCCCCCAGTTACCATATTCGCTTCGTTCTTATAGATAATTACGAGTCCCACACAACTTTATACCAGGGAAAATAGACTTTCTTTTCCACTATATACATCTCACAAACTCCAACCACTTGATATTGGAGTTTTTGATCTCTTTAAAAGTAAATATGCGGTTTCTATAAATGAATGGTTGTCAAGTAATCCTGGAAAAACAGTCACAGTAAAACTTATACCTAGACTCACTAAAATCCCATTTTTAGAATCATTTACACTCAGTAATATAAGCAGTTCTTTTGAAAAACCAGGAATATGGCCAGTTAATTCATTAGCTTTCGATGCCACTTTGGTATATAATGATAATGAACCTACAATAAATCCCATGTCTGAAAAACATGATGTAGAAATCGAAAATGACATTATTGAATGAGAAGATTTTAGAAACCAACTGTCCACCTCTAAAGTCGCTGTGATATTGCCTGTTCTTGATAGAGTCGAAAGTGAGAATTCTAGAAACATACCAAAAACTAATGCACCAGTCGAAGTGTTATCTCCCAAGACTGTTCGACCTCTGCCAAAAATTGTTAGACCCAAAACTGTGTCAAAAAAGCCTAAAGCTAATCAAGAGAAATCAAGAATGTACACTGAAACTCCCAAAAAAATAGAATTGATCAAATAGAAGCAAACAAGAAAACAAAAGCTAAAAATTGAGATTGAAAAAGAAAAGGGAGTTTTAAAGAGACCCTGCACAAATACTGATTCAGTCAAAAATAAAAAAGGTCAAAAAGAATGTATTTGCAAGCTCTAGTAACGAATCATCGGGATCTGATTATGACCATGATAATGATACATATGAAAACCTAAGTTTCGGGTCATTACAAGAGTAGGACAAAATAGAATTGGGTAACTTTATTCTAGTAAAATTTTCGTTAAAAAATACCACAATATTGGGTGTGTGCAAGATATTATTTCGAATAATACATATCAGGTGAAGTATCTTAGGCGCAGAGCGAACACCAATAAATTCCATTTTCCCCAGGTAGATGATGTAGAAATGTGTACACGAAATAATGTGTATGCTATATTGACAAATCCCATTAAGTCCAGAAGAGGTTCAAATTTAACGTTTTGTTATAATTTTGAGGACTTTGAGGACAATGTAAAATAGGAAGCCACTATTTTTTAAAAGTATTTTAGAATTTGGGATTTACTTAGTTTTGATAAATGGAATGTACTTGCATTTTGTTAAGACACAATTACAAATGTTTAACTTTTAACCGAGGTATCTCATACCGCCAGTGTTGAATTTCCCGCCTTAATTTTTGAAATGAATTTTTGCTGACGTTAAGACTCTCAGTACCTTTCAAGTTTACGTTGATGCGTACACTAGTAGCGAAAGTGCTGGAATTTTTTTGTTTTTTATTTCTCGGTTTTTTTAGGGTTTTTTCTTTTATAAAAATGTCACAGATGGCGGGGCCATCGTAGATGCATCCGGATGATCCAAAATTTGAGGAATGGTGCTTGAATCAAGTAGAGGAAGACACTAATTTCATAAGGATGAAGATGAAAGTTACGTCTCTGAAAGTGAGCATGATACAGAATCGGAGCAATCCGGAAATAAAGTTATAGAAAAACATGAGGAAGGAAACAATGAACTGGAAGAAAATCTAAGAAGACAAGATTTTTTTTACGGGCGTGAGAAGATAAATGCTACGCTAATTCTAGAATAAAAAGTAACTTAGTAAAGAATTTACCCGGGTTACGAGGTCCAACAAAAGCATCTGCAAGTATGGGAATTACTATTTAGCGCAAACATGCTGCATGAAGTTGTGCATTGGACAAATCGTAAACCAAAACCAGGCATCATTGAAAGATGTAGATGTTGCAGAGATGAGAACTTTTTTGGAGTTGCTTACACAGAAGTTTTTAAGACAGGAAGAGAAAGTTTTGAGGGTTTTTTTGCTACTGCTGGCACTGGAAAAGATGTATTTAGGTGTACAATGTCAAGAAGAAGGTTTGAAACTTTATTAGTCGCACTGAGATTTGATAATGGCACGGATAGAGCAGAGAGAATGAAGGAAGATAGAGCTGTAGCTATTTCTGGTCTATTTAGGAAGTTTACTGATCATTCTCAAAAAAGCTTTTCCTTGGGGGCATTTGTTTGCGTGAATGAGAGCCTAGTGGGTTTTAGAGGTCGATGCAGATTCGTAATGTACATTCCAAAAAAGCTTGCAAAATATGGCATAAAGAGTATGTGCCTCACATATGCTAGAAATAATTATTTGTATAATGCTTACATTTATTGTGGAAAAGGTTCGGATCGTTATGGATTATGAGAAGAAAAAAAATTGCAGGTTCTCCTCAGTCTGTGGTAAGGTTAGTAAAACCCATAGCAAAGACCGACAGATACGTGACAGCAGATAAATTGGTTAGGCAGTTTACAACTTGTGACAGAATTACAAAACACTGGACTAACATTTTTGGGTACATTGAAAAAGAAAAAGCCGATGATTCCTGCCTCTTTATTGATAGACAAAAAGAAAGAAGTCTGCAGTAAATTATATGGATTCAAAAAAAAAAAAACATTACTCTGCTTTTCCATGTTCCCAAGAAAAATAAGGCTGTATTGCTAATTTCTTCAATGCACCGTTCTCCACACTTCGCCTGAAGCACAAACAGGTTGACCCAAAATGCCAATGAAAACAAAAAGCGGCGTTTTTTTGGCGGTTAATAGTACATTAAAATCCCGCTTGAATGAAAATCCTAGCTGATCCTTTTTTCAAGATTATTTTCACTTTTTCATAATTTTTCATCATAATTAACCCGGGAACGCCCAATCCACCAAAATTTTTCACTCCAAGTTTTTGTTCTCGAGGCCCATGCAAAATTACGGACAAATAGATCGCTCCAACTTTCTCAAAATACTGGCAAAGTCTAATAACACCATTTATGCAACATTGATATAATGAAAACCTTAGATTACCAAGAGAGCTAAGAAGTCGTATGAAGTGTATACTGCAAATAGCAGAAGATCCTGAAGAAAAAGATCACAACGATGAGCGACTGCAAACTAAAAAGACATGTTTCTTATGCCCCTACAAATTGAAGCGAAATTCATTTTTTGTTTGTCGAGAATGTGAAAAACCCATTTGTTTGGATCATGCTAAAAAAATTTGTAAAATAGGTAATACACATATTATGTTTAGGGGTTAAAGGTTAATACAATAAAAGCAAGTTTCTTTTAACCATTTTAACCAAAACTATCAATGTGCCGAAACTACCCCTATAACTGGTTGATTGTGTCCCTGTTGTTATAACTAAATATTTTTTGTAAAACATTATTGAAACATTAGCTATGTAAAGGACGTGTCAATTGTAAGTGATCCTTTATTAAAGCCTAAAATCATCTGGAACATTTTGACAATGAAAAATCGATTATCGGGGCGAACGTGCCCCGGTATCCCCCACTTATATATACATTTCCAAATTTAAAAAAGTAGGAACATTAAGAAATTTGATTCTTTGTACAATATACAATTTTATGACTATTTCAAAAGTAACAATCCAAGTCCGGTTCTACCGCATATTAAAATTGGCTACATTTATGGACCTATTAATAAAAACTAATGAAATAATTTAATATTCGAGGAATTGTCGATGAATGTTGTTTTAGTATAAATATAAAAAATATAATATTATCAAAAAGATATGTCAAATTGCTTAAAATGAAATTATTTAACAGATTGAAGCTTACAGCATTAAATAAATAGATTCACAATGGCATTGTAATATTATTATTATTATTAAACTATTATTGTTTCTCATTGTCCCAACACCTAAACTAAACATTTAATAAAATCAACTAAATTATACATTTATATAATTGTGTGCGCGCCTGCGGCAAATTTATAATATATATAGATAAAATATATTGTCTACTCTGTGCAGTCAATATTTTAAAACTACTCTATATAAACATCTCTACAATTATTATTACTTTTTTTAAACGATTTGTTATAAACAATTATTACCAAGTAAACTTTATGATTCTAGTGTATTTGCAAAACCCCTAAAAAACTATCCAACCTGAAAAATTAAACTTTTTTAACAAAAACTAGTACGTTATTGTTGTAAACTTATTTTGGATTAGTCACTGCTAAGCAGTTGGAAATAACTAATTATTAAAAAAAAACCTTTCAGGTTATTTTTAACCATAAGAGGTTAATCACATATTTTAAAAACTTGTACTCTGTCGGATATAATAAAAATTGCTTAACTTTTTCAAAGAAGCACCAAGTACGAAATCAATTCTTGTTTAATTTACATTGTCGGGAAGAAACCCATCGGTGGAAAAACGACGTCTTTGGGCATAAAGCAATCATGTACGGTTTTCATGTGATTCTTCATCTTATCGGGCCTGGAGAACTCCTTCTGGCATACCGGACAAGGGAAAACTTTTCTTTGGTGACCTTCGTGATACAAAAATGCGTGTCGTTGAAAACTGTATTTGTTCTTGAACGTTTTTTGAACGTCTACCTTCGCACACTCTGTGCATTGATACACTCCTTCGTTTATTGAAGCGTAGCGGAACAAATTCAATCCCCGTACGGACATTTCCGTCAAAGCTTCTGCGGGATCTTGACTTTGGGACGTCGCCCTTCGTCGTACTCTTCGCTTCGTGGGTTGCCTACCCGACGGCGCGCTCATGGTCGCGCAGTTCGTAAGATTCGCCGGCAAATTTGACATATTTGGTAAAGGTACAGCACTAGTTGAAGGTGTCATGTTATTGTTGTTATTCAATATGTTATCGGGGGTGCTAATTCGAGATGATTCCGGTGTGTTCGATAACTGATTTGATGGTTCTGAACCGCTGTCATTGGGTTCCGTTTTGGGCGTCATGAGGTTTTGGCTCAGCAAATCTAAAAAACAAAATAGTTATTAAATGTCTGATATAACTAACTAGATTTCAATTTCTTTGTCAGTGTTTATGAATCAGTTGTAATGATTTCGCAAATCCACAAATTGTAAATGGAAAAAGATATCGCTAATATACTTCATATACAAAATAAAAACCAATGCACGTCATCGATTACGTATTTCCTCTACTGCAGTAATACCAACAAATGAAATATTACGATTTGAAGGTCTGATTGAACACTATACTCTGTTTTTAAACTAAGAGGAGCGATTTGAATTTAAGTTGGCAATTCTGTAGCCTTCTGATTGGTCAGATTACAGTCACTTTCACACATTACTTTTTAGCATGAACATCAGCTAATAATTGATATTGTTGACAGTTCTGACATTTTATAATTTGATATATCATCCATTACTTAGTTTTTTACTTTATTTCGTAAATAATAGTTCTTCAGTAAGCAATTGTATTGAAAATCTACCATTATGGATCCTTCTACATTGAGTACTATTAAAGGTAGCAATTCCTGAAAAGCCTTACAAGAAAGGGAAGACACATTATTTTACATGCTGATTCTGAAGGTTTTGTAGAAAATGCAATATTGGTTTTTGAAGGTAAAAAGATGGGAGATTACTATGAAGAGATGAATTCCGAAGTAATTTAGAAAAAAATTATTTTATTACTGATTTTTTAAAACTAAAAATTGATGAATTTCTAACCAAAATGATTAAAATGTAACTAAATATTCAAGCAAATTTTATTTATTAGAATAGAATAAAACTATTTACAAAATTGTTATAACATTTAAAACACCATCTACTACTTTAGGGATAATCTTAATTTGGCACAATGAGTTAACATTACTTTCACAAAAAATATTTTAAAAATACTTAAAATTAATACATAGGTATGTATGAACAGTTCACTTTAAGAAATATATGTTGACATGTAGTGTTATGAAAATGTTGGTTCCAGTTTTCAAAACAAATTCTGACTCATAGGCCTGTAAACTTTTGAATGCCCTTATTTGCCCTCTAGCGCATTAACCATGGGTTATCACTAAATAAGCCATAATATCCACATTACTCATAGAAGAGATACCAGTTACTGTGTGATCCACTTGTCATTCACTGATTAACTTTTACTTTTTATACCTATAACAAATATATCCTTAAAAATGTAAACAGATCTTTATATTTTATACTAACCTGGCTACATCTGGATATTCCATTAACAATTTTCTTAAATATTTAATATCAATTTTAAAAAGATCATAGTTATTCTCAAAAAGTCGATTTCAAAAGCAAGAAAAAAGTATTTCTGACATCAATCAATAACCATATTGACTTTAATTTGACAGTGACATTTCGTTTTAGACACACATTTCAGATCACAATAATGTGAAATTTGCGACCGTTGTCTGGGACCAATTAAAAAATTACTTCTATGACATTTATTCGTTTCTTAACCGCTCATTGGCCATTCACCGACTAAGGCCGATAAAGATAATTATTTCATAAATTTTGAACACGACTATATTTCGAAACTCGCTCTTAGTAACAAATCTAGTTACTTTTCCCTGTGTAAATGCGTCTTTTCAATTCGCTCCTCCTAGTTTAAAAACAGAGTATAGTTGAATTGGCGTGCATATTTTTTTAGAGATTACCTGTTCGTAAATTATTTTCTATCATATCATGACGATAAATATTCATTTACTTCTTTTTCTTATTTAGTTGCATTTAAGATAAACGTTAAATAAGGCTGGAAAAAATGGAAAAGTTTTAACTAATAATGGGAATATTTTTGCCAAGCTTTTTAATAATGGTGCCATTTTTAAAATACGATGCATGAGTGATGTTGATAATTTTCAAGATTAGGAAAAGATGTTTTTATTTATATTAATGTATTGTTCATTTCTGTACTTCTCATTTAACTATTATAGGTACAGCAGTGCAATTTACCCACAATAAGTCGTATAGATTAATTTCGCATTCTGTTTACTAATAGGTTTTGTTTGGAAACAAATTGTTTTTTTTTTTCTCTTTTTGTTTTAGGATTTTGTACAAAAGCAGCAACCTATTAACAAAATTGATTTATATACAGGGTATATTTTAATATTGCGAAAAAATTCAGAGGAGGTCCCTTGGACGAAATGAAGCAAAAAAGTTCCTATGAACATATGTCCTACGCCTCTTAGATTTTGAACTACAGGGTGGTAAAGTTATAAGAAAAAACTTTTTTTTTCGATATATTTAATACCCCTGTAGATATTTTTCTGAAAATTGGTTCGCAGTTTCTATGCATCCAAAGCCATTTTCCGATACACAATTTAAACTTTTACATTCGAAAAAAATATTTTTTCTTAGAAATTTACCACCCTGTAGTTCAAAATCTAAGAGGCGTAGAACATATTATGTTCATAGGAACTTTTCTGCTTCATTTCGTCCAAGGGACACACCTCTGAATTTTTTCGCAATATTAAAAAAACACCCTATATAGGATGTCTTAATGAGAGGTCAGTGTTTCCATCATTACAGGATATTAAATTATTAATTGAAAATAATTCTTTTGACATACCTATTTTGTATGTGTGAAACTTGGTTAAATATTGACATTTCTGATGATGTTTTACATATAAATAATTTTAATATATTTAGAGCCGATCGAACCACTAGGGGTGGGGGTTTATTGATATACATTAGTAATAAATTTTGGTCACTTAATAGAGACTCCTTTATGCTCTTACGAACAGCTGTGGATTAAAGTTAAAATTAAAAATAAAATCTATGCTTTTGGTGTCGTGTATAATACACCAGATAATAATGTAAACACTTTTTTTAATGAGTTTGAAGATTCAATGAGTATTATTTTTTCAAGTACCGATGAATTAATATGTATTGGTGATTTTAACATCAATATGCTAGATTATGACTCTATAAAGGCCGAAAAGTTTTCTTCAATTATATCTTCTTTTGGCTTAAATCAAATTATTGATAGTCCTACCAGGATTACTGAAACTAGTGCTACCTTATTAGACTTGATTATTATACCAGAGGACATAACCTTAACAAAATTAGTCAGTGACTCTTCCGGCATATCATATCATTCACTTATTGCTTGAAAAATAAAAATAGTTGTTGATAAAGCAGAACCAAAATTTATAGAATATCGTAGTTTTAAGTATTTTAATGAAAATTATTTTCCTTTTTATAGAATTTTTGACCAAGATAATATTGATGAGAAGAGAACATTTATTGTAAATAATTTGTTAAATCTTTTTGACAGACATGCTCCAATAGTAAAATCCAGAGTTACTAAGCCTAAAGCGCCATGGTTAACAGATACAATAAAAGATATGATTAAAACAAGAGATAAAGCTTTTCAAAAATATAGAAGAACTAATCTTCAGGTTCAGTTGCGTTTTTAAAAAGATATGAGAAACTATTGATAAGGGAAATTCCCATATAACGAAATTTAAAATTATTAAAATGTCGAAATTGAAGTTAGCAAAGCTGGACGGTTTAGAGTCTAGAACAATTTTATTGTGAAATTAACAAGGTTGTTGTTGTTTTGGATTTTGAATAGGATAATTGTCATAAGATTTTAAAAAAGATTGTCATTAATTTTTAAGAAATGTCAGAGAGGGAATAATATTGAATGTTGGGGTAGATTTTGGAAAGATAAGAGAAAGTATTTGTAAGCAGTGTTGATTATTGAGTTGGAAAGTTGAAATAAAAAAAGCATTTTAGAAAGGTAAAGAAATTTTATTTGTAAATTGATAAAAGTAAAGGTTGAACAAAATAGCAGCCATCAGAGTTGGGCTAAGGAGCAAAGACATAAGCAGGAAAGCATAAGAAAGGTAAATCAGACAACATAAAGAAGAATTGAGCAGGTCAGAGAACCAACAGAAGGAACAGGGGCAGGAGCAGAGCAGCCAGGGCAGAGAAGAAAATCAACAGCAGGAGCAGGAACAGAACAGCCAGGGCAGAGAAACAGAAGATTTTTTTTAATTCAACTGATTTTTAATTATTTTTATTTTTTTTTATATAAAATTTATAAATTTTCTAGATTTAGATCCCGCCCAGTTTTGAGATTTGGTAGTTTTAGAATATTTTTGGAAATCCATATACTGGGTGTTTCCATATCACTATATAAATGCAGCAATTAAGCTTATTTTAACTTTAAACTTCAAGATTATGACTCAAAGCAAATGTGGCGGATGTTAAAACAAAATAAGGTTATTCCTGGAAAAAATTATAATATTCCAGAGAACTTAAACGATGTTAATCAATTAAACGATTTCTATATTAATTCAATACCTGCTAGTTTACCACCTCAACGTTTACTAGACCAGTATTAAAATTGCTTCTTTATCTAATGAAAAACTTCAGATTTCAGAAATTAATGCCCTTTTTGTTTATGAAACTATTTCTAAAATTAAATCAAATGCTGGATGTGATAATTTAGGTCTAAAACTTAAAATGTGTTGTCCTCATATTATTGAATATATTACTTATATTGTTAATCACTGTTTAACAAATAATGCTTTTCCAACCTCATGGGGTAGTGCCATTGTGAAAGTGCTGCCAAAAAAGTCAAATCCAGTTGAGTATAAGGATCTACGTTCTATAAGTATTTTACCAGTTTTATCCAAGGTTTTTGAGCAAGTTGTAGAAGTTCAGCTAACAGAATATATTGAAAAGTTAAAAATATTACTTGATGTTCAATCTGGATTTAGAAAAGGGTATAGTTGTACAACGGCATTACTTCATGTGGTGGATGATATAATTGGATTTGGGTCAGTGTACAGCTGTAGTTTTGTTAGATTTTAGTAGGGCCTTTGATACTATAAATTATGAACCCTTACTAAGTATTTTGCATCATATTGGCTTATCACCTTCAACAGTTACGTTATTTCGTAAATATTTTTCGAATCGTAACCAGAAAGTTTCTATTGACGATAAATTTTCAGAAATTATCTCTATAAAATGCGGCTCAAGGATC